TTAAACAAGCAAGCATCATGAGACAGACCCTCCTGTGATGCTGTTGATTTCATTTCCTGCTGGCCGTCTGCTGCAGGCCATGGGTGCCTCTCTTTAGAATGGTTTGTTTTCCTAGTAAGACTCCTTTGGAGAAAACTAGATTTTCCTTTGGGAGCAGCTATCAATTGGAGATAGGTTTTGGGCTAGGGATCGGGGCGTGTGTCCACTTCTCCTTTCAGCTCTAGGACCACATCCGGTGCAGACCTGTGCACGCTGTCACAGTCTCTGTGAGTTCATATGCACAGCATCCCTGGTGTGGCCTTGATCTCTTGGTGAGCTCCATCTCCATTGGCCCTTACACGCTTCTTCCTCAGTGTTCTCTGAGCTCCAAGGGGCTCAACAAGGCATGGATCTGTGAGTATATCAGAAGGCCATTAGGATTCATTTTATTGCCATGTTCCTTTTGTGGAACAGTAATATTTGGTTTTCGTCTAGGCCCATGACATATCTAGTCTCAGGTTCTTAGCCACTCAACCAGCACTGGGTATGAGTAGGCCAGCTCAAGTCAGATATCGGTTGGTTACTGCCATAAGCATTGTGCCTCTGCTGCACCAGTATATCAGGCAGGTCACCATTGTAGATCAGAGAGTTTGTAGCTGGACTGATGTTTGACTCTCTCCTTTGGTCGTATACAAAGTGCCTTTCATTATCATGAACACTCATCCATAGGGGTGAAGGTGCTATGTAGGCACCAGCTTGAGTTCTCTGTGTTCAATGAGTTGTATAAGTGTTGGCTTCAGCAATAGGACCTCACCAATAGCCATAGCCTGGGTTGTTTGAGGGTTTCCATAGATTCCCTTTGGCCAAGAACTCAACTAGATTTTAACCCATTCCCAATACTAGAAGCTTCTTTTGGTGAAGTGTCCACCTGGAAATCTGTTTCCCCCTTTATTTGGAGATTTCATTTAGATTGCCTTCATTTATGCGTATATTTTAGGAAGCTTCTACTGTATTAGATTTTCATATGATGCCTCAAATAGGCCTTGGTTTATCTGTATCTCCTTGTATCCCCTCTGTCACTCCCCTCGTCCCTCCCTCTTTCCCTTTGATCCTCCCATTCCACACCCTTCTCTGTCTATTCATAAGTATTCTATTTTCCCATCCCTCTCCCCAGTCTTTTAACTCTATACCTAACCTCTGTGGTTATATGGATTGTAGCTTGCTTATCAATGACTTAACAGTTAATATCACATATAAGTGAGTATATAGCATATTTGTCTTTCTAGGACTGAGTTACCTCACTCAGGATGAATTTTTTGTAGCTTCATCCATTCACCTATGAATTTCATGATTTCATTGTTTTAAAACGTGGAGTAGTCTTCCATTGTATAAATGCACCACCTTTTCTCTATCCAGTCATCTCTTGACAAACATCCAGGTTGATTCCAATTATAGGCCATGATGAACCATGATCGTGGCTGTGCGAGCATCTCTGTAATGCTTTGAAGCGTCCTTTGGCTGCATGCACAAGAGTGGTATAGATGAAGGTTGAGGTAGGTCAAGAGCCAGCTCGCTGAAGAATTGCCTCACTGATGTACAAGTGGGTACGTTCCTACCCACAGGGGACAAAGTGCTGTGTTTGTCGCCTGTCTTCAGCCGCATGAGTGAGTTTCTGTCATTTGTTTTATTAATCTTGGCTCTTCTGACAGATGGAAGATGAAATATCAGAGTAGATTAGATTTGCATTTCCCTGCTGACTAAGGATGTTGGATGTTTCTTTAAGTGCTTCTCAGCCATTTGAGTTTCCTCTTTTGCGAATTGTGCTTAGATTTGTACGCCACTATTGAATTGAGTTATTTGTTTTCTTGATGTTTGGAGTTTTTTGAGTTCTTAATATATTTTGGATAATAATGATATATATATGTGTGTGTGTGTAAATATCTATATATAAATATATAGACAGATATAGATATCAGACATATAGTAGGCAAAATCTTTTCCCATTCTCTAGCTTACTTCTTTGTCCAAATAATGGTGTCTTTTGCCATGAAGAAGATTTTTAATTTCATGAGGTCCCATTTATTTGATGATTTTTGTTTTTGTTTTTCAAGACAGGGTTTCTCTGCATAGCCATAACTGTCTTAGAAATTTGTTTGTTTGTTTATTTGTTTGTTTTTGTAGACAAGGATGGTTAGAGATCCATCTGCCTTTGCCTCCTAATGCTGGGATTAAAGGTTTGTGCTACCACACCAGCTAAGGTCATATTTAATAATTTTGTTCTTAGTGCCTGTGCTATGGGTATTGTGTTCAGAAAATCTTTTCCTGTGTCAATGCGTTCAAGACTGTTCCCTCACTTCTTCCTCTGTCAGATTCAGTGGATCTGGCTTTATTCTGAGGTCTCTGATCCATATAGAGTCATGTTTTGTGCTGGCTCATAAGTATGGATCTGTTGGGATGCTTCTACACGCGGTCATCCAGTTTGTCAGGGTAGTTCTTGAACCCTGGTTTTGTATAAGTCATAATATAAGAGAATATATGACCAGGAGTAATGCACACATGCACATACACACATGCACATACACACATGCACACATGCACACACGTACTTACACACAGGCACACACAGAGAGACATGAACAAACACACCCTTCTTTACTCCCTTCACTTCCATACTGTGCCTGGTGTGCTTCTCTATTTAGGATGAGCCTGTTAGACACATACATTTTAGAGGCAGCCATCATTGATCCATCGTGGAAGATATATAGGGGACACGGAGACTCTTTAGGAGGACATCTGTTTGCTGGGACACCACAAAGCCCCTAATAGGTTGTGAGTTGACACTGAATTGAGTCTTCTGGAGAAGTTTCCTCATCAGCTTTTCTCATAGCTGCTCAAAGGGTCACATGGAACTCAACTGCTTTGCTCTCAACTCCCCCTTCTCTGAGGGTGAAGACCAGGGCATGGCTCTGTCCTGTTTTCTGTTTCTTGATAGTCATACCACAAATCGCGTTATACATAAAATACAGATATTTGCTAAGGGCACATTTCTGGACTCTGGATACCCAAGGGCATGGTGTCTATTATTGTTGAGTCTTGGTGGTGCAGAGGAGGCAGGTACTGCATGGTGAGGCGAAGCCTGTGACCTTCAGTCTCTTTTCTATTATTCTGGACTCAACCAAGATATATATAATGTTACATTTTGTTCGCTTTAGATCTCCCCACTTCCTCCTCTCCCTTGTTCTCCTTTCCTCCCCTGCAACCTTCTTTAGCTGTGAATGTGGGCCCCCATGGGACATGGTGCACCTGTGGAGGTCACAACACAATTCAGGGTTCACTCTCTCCTTTCATCAGGAGTTCCTTGGGATCAATCTTAAATCGTTACGCTTGCACGGCACAAGCTTTTCCTGCTGAGCTGTTCACAGGTCCATCCTCCTTTTCTTGAAAAGCCGTGGACACCATGATAGAGACCTTCCCTTCAAGACCTTGTCTAATCTTGATTACACTCCAGACACCAGATTCTCAAATGGAAATTTCAAGCGTGTGAACTCGCAGTGAATGCATATATAAGCTTGCTTATGGTTTTCTCTGAACAAAATCCAAACTCGTATGCGTGGGGAGGTGTGTGCATGGTATTATCACCCCAATCACGCTATTATTTTAACTTAAGTTTTGTCTCATTTGACTGGGAAACAGCCCCCTGATGACTATGACCTCAAATGCTGCTTCTCCGAGGGCTACAGAGCTTCCTATGGTCAATGCAACAGAGTAGTGCTAAGGGAAACATTAGCTGACAGAACACTAGCTGACTCTCCAAGGCCTTCGTTTCTTAGAAGCTCAATTGGAAGAATTACCCAGCTCACCGAGAGCTACTGAGTTCATGCTCTGTGAAAGCACTAGAATTATAATATCTAATGCCTAGTGGCAACTATGAAAAGCCAAGCTTTGGAGATCAGCCCCGGAAGCCAGCTTTCCCCAGACCTGTGGTGCCTCTTCACAGTGTGGGTAGAAAACCTTCTCAGAGACAGACGAGGCGGAGACGTTTCTTGTATGTTGTGGTGGTGCTCTCAGCCCTGTACCAGTCCTCTGATCATCAAGCCAAGTCATATTGGGCCTGTGAACCCTGGAACAACAGCCTCCTATGCTGGGTCTTTGCCTGTGGGACCCTAACCGCCACTCTTGCCACCTCCTGACCCCCAGCCGTCTGTTAGCATCAAGACTGCCTTCAGTGACTTTCCACTGCAGTTCTGTCCTGTTTATCTCTTGTGCTTCCTCCTCCTCCTCCTCTGCCTCTTCTTCCTCCCCCTCCTCCTCCTCCTCCTTTTCCTCTTCTTCTCAAGGCTGTGTTATTTGGGAAGACTGTTGAATAATGGTGTGTTGTTTCATGAGCTAATGTAAGTTACTGGCTCTCAGTGCTCAGCCTCCACCTTTCCAGTTCATCATCTCATTTACTCTTTCACACATTTAGGAAGGGGACATTATTTTTCCTCCATGTATAGAACATTGGCTCTGAGTTATCAAATAAGGCGTCAACGTTTGGTTAGTTTACATTCTGCAACGTGCCCTGAAGTGTGTACTGCTCCCTCCTCCACCCCCATCAGATCATATGTTCTTATTGCCGCTGAAGGTTAAGAGAACAACGCATCCAATTCTATCATATTTCTTGCCAATAATGCCAATTAGGTGTTTGCTGGAGGTAAATGCATTAAGCCAGACAGTTCTTCTGCTATCTGTGAAGGGGGAGTTGGGGGAGGGGGAAGTGAAAACGTGGAGGAAAATTAAACTTTTGACAAGACAGCAAAGCATATTGAAACTCAGTCTCCTTAAGTCTCGGGAGCCCTGTGAAAGGGTTGCCTCCTTACAAGGAGGAGAGGACTCAGGAGCAGGACAAAGGGATCAGTTCACCTACTCTGTCATATATCATAGGTTTCAGGTTCCTAGGCACCTGACTGTCTCCTTTCTCAGGCTCAAAGGCTTTGCAGAATGACCGTAGATTAAGAGAAAATCTCTTTTCTCTGTTTCAGGAATACCAAATTGATATCTTTTTTGCTCAGACCTGGACAGACAGCCGCCTTCGATTCAACAGCACCATGAAAATCCTCACTCTGAACAGCAACATGGTTGGCCTGATATGGATCCCAGACACCATCTTCCGAAACTCCAAGACCGCGGAGGCTCATTGGATCACCACACCCAATCAGCTTCTCAGAATCTGGAATGATGGGAAAATCCTGTACACGTTACGGTAAGATGCCGTCTAGCTCTGTTTTGAGGTTTTAAACCTGGCTTTATTAATGGAATCTAAGGAAGTATAACTTGCTGCGATACCCAGGAAACACACGTGAAAGAGAATACATCTATTCAAGTCCAGACTTAGGAGAAGCAGGAGACCCTTCTGTCTCAAATGTTTGTCTTCTTGGAGCTCAGCAATGCAGAGTGTTCTCACGGAATGCAGAGGACTACAGCAAGACCCCAGATGGGGGGCTCGCTGCTGATCGGATGGTCTCTCCAAGTTGCTGGGCCCCACTCATCTTTGAGCATCTATATGGACTTCTTGGGACCTTAGCTTCCAAAGGCAGCACTCCCTTTATCTAGACAAACACATTAATTCTTCTGCAAGGTAGACCCCAGGTGCTAAGCAATGAGGGACCTTAAAGAGGCCTCTTTGTAGAACCCAGAAACCCAAGTGAAAAGTCTGCCTCTTTAAAAGAAGAGGGAAAGGTTTAAGGAGTAAGGTCAAAGGTGACCAGTTCACTTACACCTACCCTATTCCAGGTTTAAGGTCCTAGGCACACACATATCCCTTTCCTGGGCTACAAGGCATCTCAGATCGACCATCAGTTAAAGAAAACGACCTTCCTTTGAAATACACTGCTTTCCCCCTGTGAAGCTGCAGGGCGATTGGTAAAGAAAAGTCCCCAGACTATCTTGATACAAAATATATAGCTTTAATAAACAGAAGTAAGACTTACAACAGCTTACACCAGAATCCAACCGATCCGTCCGGACGCAGGAGCCAGGCGAAAAGAGGGCTAGCGGAGCGCGTTTGCAAGGTTTATAGGCAGGCTTTTGCCTGAGGGTGGCACGCCCTGAAAGCAGAATATGATTGGCTGAACTCCCCTATCACCCCTGTCTCCCTTAAGCGCCTCTTTCCCATAGCTCCTAACGTTCTCCTTCTTTCCATATTTATTATAGAGATTTTAATTATGAGTGATCCTGGCACGGAGGACAAATTGTGATCCCTACCACTAAGGTTTCCACAGCACCAGGAGACACATACTGACATCAAAATATGAAGGCAATATCAAAGGCCAAGGGAAGGAAGTTTCCAGACAGGGACCCACAGAAAGAACAACAAAGCGCCACAGCAGGGAAGTTTAGTGATGATATGGGCTTAGAAAGGCAGACATTATTCCAGGCTTCTCATCAATCATGCAGGGCTATGAAGGAGACTCAGAAGAGAAGCTCATCCTGAGCGAAACAGTTACTGAGCCTGGCTGGTCCTCGATCTGTGATAGGCATCTTGGCACACAGGGAGCTTGAAATGTGCTCACATAGTACAGCTGCTGCCTGCCTGGGCCAATAGAGGCAGGTGTCCAAAGAAGAATTGCCCTGGAAGCAGAGGGATTTGGCCTAATGTATGTGTGGACCAACATACCAGCTTCAAGTGGAAGGAGGTCATTGAAACGAATTGAAACAGTGGCTTAGGAAACAACAGCCATTTTTTCCCCACTGTGGCTTGACTTGTATTTCTAAGGAGCACTGGAGTTTTGCTAGTATTTGCTCTGCTATTAATAGTTCAAAGCAAAACAGAACCAGGCAACAGTGGCACACGCCTCTAATCCCAGCACTCGGGAGGCAGAGGCAGGTGGATTTCTGTGAGTTCGAGCCCAGCCTGGGCTACAAGAGCTAATTCCGGGACAGGCTCCAAAGCTACAGAGAAATCCTGTCTCGAAAAAAAAACCAATAAATAAATAAATAAATAAATAAATAAAAGCTAAACCGAGTAGCTCAGTAAGAAAGCAATCAAAAGCCTCTTCCTCCCCCCCCCCCCCCGGCCCACCCAATGGAGGGAGACCCTGCATCTTCACATTGCCCCCTCACCTCCTCCTGGGGCATGCACCCGCCATGGGATGCCTAATCCCATTGGAGGCCTTGGCTGTGTTGCTGCTGATTCCAAACGATGCTGGTCTCTTTCGCAGGCTCACCATCAATGCAGAGTGCCAGCTGCAGCTGCACAACTTCCCCATGGATGCGCACGCCTGCCCCCTGACCTTCTCGAGCTGTGAGTATGCAGGGGATTTGCCCCTGAGTGGGCAGCTCCGGGACTGGGACTGGCTGCCCTGGGTCTGGTTTCCAGCGGTCAGCTGTATTGTTGGTGACTGTGTCATTACACAACCAAAGGAAACCAGTAACAGTTGTGTCTTTGGCCACCAGGATGGTTTCACTCTGGACTCCATGGCACAGAACTTTGTAGAACAGGTAGCTTTGATTAACGAGGGAGTGACACTGTTCCTGGCATCATTATTGAAGGATTCAGAGGTTAATGGTGCATAATGAGCTATGCCTACTTTTTGCAATCTTTTGTTGCATTTTTTAAGTTTAATATTGTAAAGATTTGCCTATCAATGAAGAAGGTCAGATCCTCCCTTTGAATGTACTTGCATATCTCCTGGACCAGATGGCATGGATGATTCCTAACACTGAGTGCCTGCGCACACCCACAAGGAAATATCAAATATTAAATAACTTATAGAGCTTTTAAGGAAAGGGCAATATGGAAATACACCTATTGAATTTATGCTGGCTTATTTTAAATGTATTCATCACACATACTTACATATGCATGCAAGACTCAACAGACATTTAAATAACTGTATTGGCTTTCTTTAAAACTGAATATAAAGTATGCCTGGCAAGTCGGAAGGAGTCCCAGGCAGACAGACTGCGAGCAACATCCAGGGACAGACAGACGCACAAGAGAATTGGTTTTAAGTTCAGAAAAATCCGAGATGCAACACAGAATTTCACTGACCTCCTTGACTTGGTACAAAGGGATCTCATGTAAAGAACAGTTCTTAAGCAGTTAAATCTAAACTCAAGATGTTTGTTGATGGCATGCATGGCTGGTGCCCTGCTCTTGAGTGTGCCTAACTCTGGCGTAGTGAAGTTATAGGCAGATCCCTTCGGGCAGTTGCTCTCTTTATTTGGAAGTCAGATGCTGTGGCAGTCTTGCGAGCTTTTTGGGCACCGGTGGATGCACGGTATGATTCTGAGTGATCCATGCAGGCCGTATTTATCACTGCCCAGCTGCTTCCGCTGCTCTTTCCAATATATTGACTTATCTACTGAGTTTATAATTTAAGTGGTTATTTTATACTAATAGGCTTCCCATTTGCTCTGTTTTCCTAACCTCCTGCTCAAATTTAGATTTCTTTACCAAATTTTCAGTGACTTCTCTTTTGAAAAATTTTCAAAAATGGCCATCTCTGTGGGCCACCTTTGCACAACTAGCTGCTGAGTCATTTGTTAATTTGAATGAATGTTTCCTAGGACCCCTTCTGAGACTTTTCTTTGTGAATTGACTGAGGCCTTATGCTTTCTAAGCTTGCATTGACCTGAACTAAATTTGCTCCTGTCTTCACATCCTTGCAAGTCATTCCTGTCCCCATCCCATGGTAATTATCGATCTGGCTTGTGTCACTGCATGTTAGGTGCCGGGTCCAAAATTTTATAGCTAGCGTCTGGTCTCTGTCACCCAGCAGGATGCATCTGAGTCATGCACACTGGCAAATTATTTAATGCTTCCTTTTTCTAAACTTTAAAGTTTAAGCCGGAGAAGCTGGGCCATGCATATGGTGTGAACTGAAGTCTATACTTTCTTGCAATTTTAGACCCCAGAACATCAATTCATAAGTTAGAAGAGCACTTTGACTCTTGCGTTCCGTCATGGACAAGGGTGGGTAGGAGCCTCCTTCTAGAGAGTTCTTCAAGCTGAGGACCTTTTGCCCCTGGAATCTAATCTTCTGCCAGGGCCTGGCCTTGGGTCTTGCCTTGTTCCTTGCCTGGATCGATACCTCAGGCTCCCTGAGGAAGCCAGCACAGATGGCAGGGTTCCAAGGGCTCCATCTCAGGCATCCCCTTACAGTCCTGTGTCTTCCTGTCTGTTTCCTTTACACCCTCACGCTTTCCAAACTTATTTAACTGTTCTGTGGATGCTTCTAAGCCTTTTGCTCCGGACCAGGATTATCTTTGCATGACGTTTGCTCTGTTTCTAGAGAGAAAATGCTTTTAGAGGTAAAAGAATTTTACTGTGTAAGAAAAGATATATCCCTGCTGGAACTAGTTGGTAATTAGAATAAAGTAGCAGGAAGCAGTCTGTTATAATTTGTGAGACCAGACATAATTAATTCTGTGTCTGATATAGAACAGTTGTGGAAGATGCTCACAGTGAATGTGCAAAAAAATGAGTAACTGAGATATATATAGTGGTTAAAAAGAGAAGATTTAAAGACGATTCTTAAAGTATGGTCTCTGTGTGTTTCGGATGTGTGTGTATCTGAAAATCCATTGTGGCAGCCAGAGAGTGCTATAGCCCCCTGGAGATGGAGTTACAGGTGGCTGTGAGCCATTCTGGGTGGGTTGTGGGAATTGAGCTTGGGTCTTCTGCAAGAACAGTGTTCACTCATAACTGCTGAGTTGTCACCACGGTTCCTATGATCTTTGTCTTGAGGTTCTTTGTAGAAAAACAATTTAGCTAAAAGACACAGTGTGTGTAAATGGCCACTCATATTCTTTCTTTACAGTTACTTTGAATATAGCCTGTTTCCTTATTGGTTTTCTCTCCGTGAAATGTAAGTTTTATGAAAAATCTTCCTCTCTGCTCTGATGACGGATCAGGAATATATTACCGTGAAGGTTGTTTCCTTTGCGGTTTTAATTTCCAGAAGCTGCATGTCCTGTGAAACGCTGCCGAAGCTGGTGCGCTGCACCTACTAAGGGCGAGTGCTTCTCAGCCGCCGACAGGGCAGATACGTCCAGATGGACGCATGGTTAAGCTGAACTCACCCTAAATGGTAGGTGTAGTGACTGCTGCTACCATACCGAGCACCATCACTCAGAAGCAAAGCATTCTTCAGTGTCGGTTTTGCACACTGTGATTACAGGGCTGGTCGCTTGCTTTGGATGCTGCTCTTGCTCGAAGTCACCAGAGAGAGCCATGTGGATGCAACAGCCTGCGGAAGACCCATGTGTTATGAAAGGTGTTTTAAAATTGTGTTTTACACTATCCTAAGGCATAAAAAATTTGTATAACCATCCTAAGAAATTGTGTGTGTGTGTGTGTGTATGTGTGTGTGTGTGGTGTGGTGTGTGTGTGGTGTGGGTGTACGTGTGATGTGTGTGTGTGATGTGTGTGTGGTGTGGTGTGTGTGCATGTGGTGTGGTGTGTGTGTGCGTGTGGTGTGTGTGATGTGTGTGTGTGTGTGTGCGTGTGGTGTGTGTGTGGTGTGTGTGTGTGCGTGTGGTGTGTGTGTGTGTGGTGTGTGTGTGTGTGTGTGTGTGTGTGTGATGAGTGTAGAAGGAAGGAACAGCAAGTGTGTGGAGTCACTTCTCTCTTCCCTTCATATGAGTTCCTTTCTTCACTGATTTTTCTCATTACTCCTTTGTGGGTTTTTATCATAATTTCAAAATGAAACAAATATTAAAGTCATTTAAGCAAAGGTGATACGCAGAGGGAGCATAAGTCACTCAAGCAGCTATGAACCATTAGCAGTTAGTAAATGTAAGTTGAGATCAGGAAGTGCCCTCACTACAAATGATAGAAGAAAGGCTGACATCCAGAGCCGCGGCAAGAATGCCAAAGACTCCCGACATTCTGAAGATGGGGATACAAGATGGCAGAAATGGCAAAGAATTTGGCTGTTTCTTTCAAAACTAAAACCATACTAGGAGGACTAGGTATTGCATAATTAGAGATTGGACCCTGAGAAGCAAAGTATATAATTGTGTAATCATGAAGCTCTATCTAAGGATATTCACAAAGACCTATCTATGAAGATTCGTGAAGACCTACCTATGGATATTCATGACAACCTACCTATAGATATTCATAAGAATCTATCTAAGGATATTCATGATGACCTACCTATGGATATTCATGAAGACTTACCTATGGATAT